TCGTGAGACACGACCCGGTGTTCGAATCTTTCGATTCTGCTCCGGTAAAAATATACGCAACAATGCGCCATCGGAGTTGGTGCAAGGCGGTGAGGTGGTGTGCAACATGTCTAGTCTCTCTGGGTGAGTCTGCCCAAAGCGGTGAGGAGGGAGAGATGCCGGTCAACCTACAAAATAATATGGAAACACAAAAAAAGGTTATCCCTATGTTTCGCATTATTCCTTTCTGTCCAGGTGGCCCAAAGGATCAGACAAGAAACAAGGAAGCTCACGTGTCTAACGTGTTTGTTGTGTCTGAAAAACTCAGAAGCTTAAAGAAAGTATCTTTGGAGAGTAGGGGGGTACGAATGTAATTGGTATAATGCTCTCACACTCTCCTCATAGTCTCGCTCTCTAAAAACAAATGGGTGAATGTCTCCATCTGAAAGCCGGTCTCAACACAGCAGTAGCAACGCGAGGGGAAGGAGAGCCCCCTCGCCTGCATAACTGTATCAATCGGTAAGCGGCGCAAAAGGAGGCGCCATAAAAAAACAGAGATGGTAGGAGTAAGAAGGTCGGTCCAGATGGCCCCGAAGAGAAGGTTAGGCCGGTCACCCAGCCGTACTTCCCCCAAGCCGAAGGCGTAGAGAATGCACCCGAAGATGTAAGTCTCCAACTCATACCGTCCAAACCGTCCCCCGAGATGGGAATCTGCTGGATCTCATCTATCATCTGATCACTAAGGACAACTCCTGTACCCAGAATCCTCTCTAGCCTATCTCTATCCCATCTCCCCTCCGTCTACAGGTCCTTCACCTGCAGAAAGGGGAGGTGGGTAACCTGTCTAAAGCTCGAAAGGGGGCTCTCACCAAACCACCACTCATCCCAAAAACTAATGTCCCCCTCACCCACAGTTCAAAATATGTGCTTCTGAGCACATCTACCAACCATGGTGAGGTGTATTCACTGTCTTCTATCGCGGACGGTGGCCGTCACCCTACAGGGGTGGGCAGCTCCTCCAAGACAGTATTTCTGACGAAGATACTGGGCCTAAAGTGACTTACCCCCTAAAGCGCCACCACATCTTATAAGAAAATGCAATGACGACATCCGAAAAGACGAATCCCAAGACCCCCATCTGAGAATGAGCGGCAAATGGTGTCCCACCTCACCCAGTGGACCTGTCTCCCTCTCCGGGAGCCCTCTCCATGTCCCCATAAATAATGAGCCAGAATCTGATCTAACTCATGAAGAGTAGACTGGTGGGGGTCAAGAATCGTAAGGAGATGAAGCGAAAGATTGCTGAGAGTGCCCTTGATCAAAGCAGACCGACCTCCAAAAGAGAGGTGTCTGTGAGACCAACCGGAGATCCGGTCAATCATCCTCTGTCTGACGTCAATAAAGAGCTCATGCGAGAGGTGATCCTTGTACAGAGGGGCACCAAGATAGGTAATGGGAAGGTCGCCCCACACCAGAGTGACTTACCCCCTAAAGCGCCACCACATCTTATAAGAAAATGCAATGACGACATCCGAAAAGCGACGAATCCCAAGACCCCCATCTGAGAATGAGCGGCAAATGGTGTCCCACCTCACCCAGTGGACCTGTCTCCCTCTCTGGGAGCCCTCTCCACGTCCCCATAAATAACGAGCCAGAATTTGATCTAACTTATGAAGAGTAGACTAGTGGGGGTCAAGAATCGTAAGGAGATGAAGCGGAAGAGTGCTGAGAGTGCCCTTGATCAGAGCAGGCCGACCTCCAAAAGAGAGGTGTCTGTGACTGTGAGACCAACCGGAGATCCGGTCAATCATCATATATCTGACGTCAATAAAGAACTCATGCTAGAGGTGACCCTTGTACAGAGGGGCACCAAGATAGGTAATGGGGAGGTCGCCCTACACCAGTGCGCTCGTGGACCCAAGGGGCCCACTGATCCGCAATGTGATGATCAAGGGTGAAAGTGCTCTTTTGCACACAGACCAACTGACCAGAGACCGACCCTTGAAGCAAAATAAATAATTTTATGGTTTTTTTTTTATATCACAACTAAGGCCTCAGAAATAATTTTATGGGTTGAAGAAGAAATATTGTCCGACAAATTGAGGTTTGAGAATTAATTTTTTTTTTTTTTTTTTTCAAGATGCGCAAGAACTTGTCAAAGTTGTGTGGGAATTGGAAGACCTTTTTGTCTCGGTAAAAATTGGCTGCTTTTCCACCTGTTGTTTACTGCACGCTTTCTCTCTTATTATCCCTACCATCGATCCCATTCCTCTCTCTCTGTCTCTCTCTCTGTCTCTCTCTCTCTCAAAAAAAACAAAAAAACAAAAAAAAAAATTATTAGCAGCATATAATTAATTAGTTGTTGCTTACATGTGCATGTCTGCAGTCTGCTACTTCAATTTTCTCTTTCTAGTCTAGTCCATTAAATATATATATCATTATTTATTTATTTGCCCATACTTGATATATTAATTAATTAATATTTTTCCTATATAGCTTTCTTTTCATATATTTTTCTATTCTATATTCATCATATCCATCTTGGCGAGTAAGTAAAAGCACTCTCAGTTACAGTCTTGCACTTGAAATTAGCATAAGCTGTTTGTTATATATTGGCTGATGTCTAATCACTTGTTGGATTCTAAATTAATAATTCTGTACTCACTCACTCACTCAGGTAATTACATTACTGTGGATCTCAGGAGATATATAATTAGATATTTTGGTTTTGTACTTTCTCTCCCTAACTCCTCCTGATATATATATATATATATTAGAAGTTGAGGAGAGAGAGAGAGTAAAATAAATGGCGGGCTACGACCAGCAGCAATCGTCCGGTTCCTCCCGCTACGCCCACCACCACTTCTTTTCCCACCCTCCAAACCCTAGCTCAGAGATGGAGGAGGAGCCCTCCGCCCAAGGATCCCCGCCGGAAAAGGACCCCGACCCGACCGCCACCACCAGCTCCGGCGGCACCCCGTCCGGCAGCCGCCGCCCCCGCGGCCGTCCCCCGGGCTCCAAGAACAAGCCCAAGCCCCCCGTGGTCGTCACGCGCGACAGCCCCAACGCCCTCCGCTCCCACGTCCTCGAGGTCACCCCCGGGAGCGACGTCGCCGAGGCCGTCGCTGCCTACGCCCGCCGGAGAGGGCGCGGCGTCTGCGTCCTCAGCGGCGGCGGCACCGTCGCCGACGTCACACTCCGCCAGCCCGCCGGGAGCGCCGTCACCCTGCACGGCCGCTTCGAGATACTCTCCCTCACGGGGACGGTCCTGCCGCCACCGGCTCCGCCTGGGGCCGGCGGGCTTTCCATATTCCTGTCGGGAGGGCAGGGGCAGGTAGTTGGGGGAGGCGTGGTGGGCCCTCTGGTGGCTTCTGGGCCGGTCTTCCTCATGGCGGCCTCCTTTGCAAACGCCGTTTTCGAGCGGCTGCCGCTGGAAGAAGAGGAGGAGGCTGCGGGAACTCAGCCGCCACAGCCGAGCGCGTCACAGTCGTCTGGCGTCACTGCCGGAGGCGGAGGACGGGCCAGTGGAGATGGCGGCGGCTCGTTTTTCAGCCCGGGCCCGGCGAGCACAACATCTCCGCCGCCAACGGGGATTTATCCATTTCCTGCAGAATTGTTCGGATGGGGGAGTGGAAGTTCTGCAAGGCCACCTTTCTGATCAACAGCAGCACCATTTTTGGTATTTCTTGATTCGATTATGTCGGTTTAGTTTCATTTTATGTGGTATTCTGAGATTTTTCATTTTGGTATTTGGTGAAAATAAAAATGAAGAATAATGATTGAAAAAATAGGAAAAAAAGTTGTGCAGCAAGTTACAAGATTAATGATCTGTGTGGTGTGAGTCATCTGTGAGTGGAGGAGTTGCCGACGAATTGAACTGCAGCAGATTGTGATGAGTATGAGTAATTGTGTTGAGATTGAAGGTCAGTATGTACGTAGGTTGTAATCGGAGCTTAGAATGTAGTGTGCTATGTGGGGATTATGATCCTCTTGTTCATGCTTCTATCTCACTATTGGTTGTATTTTGTTAGTTTTCTGTGACTTGACAAGTGTTACACGGTGCACATTTTGTTAGGATGATGACCTTTAGATTTTTCTTTGGCATATTTGATGTGATCGAACGGCACTAAATGAAATTGCATTCGTCGTTCTATTTTCAATCTTATTCGTTCTTTTTAACTTGAGTTGAGTGAGCTATTACTTTTCGTTCATGTTGCTAATGATATCTTCGGGGAGCTAGTCCTTTAATCTGCGGGCTAAAACCTTAAATTTGCTTTTGTATTTAGGTAGTAATTATGTAAACAGACCGAGTCTTTTCACATAATACATGGACGAACATGAAGTAGAAGATCATGTGATTGAAACTTGAAGTGTTTACTTCTTAGATAAAATTCACAATGGTATGTGAATATTGTGTTACATTGTCCTTAAACTAAGAAATACTAAATGCAATGACCAAAATCAGGTTCTATCTGAGATGGATATCGGTGCAGATCAAACGTGCAATAACATTTAAGTAATCACCGCATTGGTGCTTCTAAGTCTCTTTAGATTTTTCTTGTATATGCCGTAGAGACTGGATTTGTACCAAGTGTGCTCAAGTAAAGTTCAATCAATTCATTGAAGTTAAATGTTAAAGGAACCCTATCACACACCAGTTGTGTTCACAATTAGTGTGGAACCAACTGAATGTTCAAATTTTAGCTATTTCTTAGTACAATTGGCACCGTTTCGTACTGTAATTGGATCACAGCTCTTTTTTTTTTTTTTTTTTCCGACTCTGAGCACCTTCTTTAATATTTCATCAAGCTATAGTTGAGCCAAAAGTGTTGAAATTCTCTTCAATGAACCATTTGGTGTACCATTTTTTTCTACTACAGTGGTTATAGCACTTGCCATGATTCAATTTTGGTGCATGTGGCCTTCATAGGATAGAATCTTTGACGGATAGATTTTCGACCGAAACTCGTCTACCAAGATCTTGTAATGAAGGATCCCGAATCAAATAGCAAGTGTAGATATTGGCTTTGCATTCAGTTGATATTCCTATAGATAATGTCACATTCCATAGGTTGAAGCAAGTGCACACACAATTATTTTTGTTATTTTGTCAAGTTCCTCCAAAGACAATGCATTTATCTTGAAAGCTTTCGTGTGGGGGTTTTTAATCGGCTCGTAAGCGGGATAGGCATGCGTTCGGCTGCATACGCCCCATTTAGCAAGTTGGTAAAAACTAGTTTGATGGGCTATAATAAGAAGAGTGATGTGTGTGTCTCGTGCTGCATTGCAACATTTGTGGTTTGTGTTGGCTTCTCTATTTTTCCCTGTCTTGTATGTAAAATTCAATGTCATTAATTGACCGTTTAACTTAGCTGTGTGGGGCAAACACAAGATTATGTCCTATCTTTCTTGGTTGCTGCTATAGAATACATAGTTTGACATCTTCTTATCCTTTTCTCCATCAAAACTGTTGACCCAGAAAAAGGGTGTCTAGTAGTTTTCCCTTTCTTCATTTCCCCACCTAATACACATCCTCTTTTATGCTTACATTTGGAAGCATGCATGGCCCAACTATTAATAGCTACTACTATATTGCATCAGTCTAAATTTGCTAATTTTGGAGTCTTTTTTCAAGTGAATGTCTCATGAGCATGTGATATCATAATTGTTTAGGTGATTTTTCCGAAATTTTATTTTTGGTACACTATGTTGGTCATTTTCCGAAAAAAAAGTCCATCGTATAGGGCGTCATTAAGAATGTTCCACAAAGTTGCCACTTTAATCAAAACTCGTACAATAATCGACATAGTGGACTAAAAATGACAACTAAAAATGATCAATTTTAGTACACTATGTTGGTTATTATACGAATTTTTGATTAAAGTGGCAGCTCAGAGGATCATTTTTGATGACGCTCTATGTGATGGACATTTTTCAAAAAATGACCAACATAATGGACCAGTTTTAAAATTTTACCGAGTGTAGATCGACACAGTTTCGGAGATTTGTGCTTGGAAATTGCATTTTTTTTCATGAGTTCCATTTCAGGAAAATTTGAGCTCTACTATGTAAAGTTCACTTGGTTTTCACACTTTTGCTAGGGTATCTAATACAATGACAATTGATGAAGACAACAAATTGGGGGAATGAATTTGTACTTTGGTTTTAAATTGGTTGGTATATAATTGGGTCTCAAGAAGGATTGTGTTCATAAATGGTAAAGCTGCAAGTACATGTGGGGGTGTGGGGATGGATGGATAAAACAGTGGCACACAATTCTATGTTAGCAAGTTTCATTTTCAAGGGAGAGGTTTGTTTGGTTGTGTAGATAATAATGATGGGCAATTGATGGATTTCTTTGCTTGCTATGCAATTTTTTTAGGCTTAGCAAAAAGTCGGTCCTTTCATCATCATATAGTGGCTCAGGCTTAAATTCTGCCATAATAAGCATAAAATAAAATAGCGGTCCTCCAAGCCGGGCAACAACTGAAGTTTTGGTTTCACTTTGTGATTTATGGTACAATCCGAGTTTGTTTAATTCCTAAGAGGACGGTTAATCTTTTTTCTTAGGAATTATTTATCTCTAAATTTATTGGTATTATGAGTTTTGTTAATACTAGACTTAATTTGATAGTTTTATAACATTTAAGTCTTGAATTGAGAAAAAAAAATCTTTCAAGCCCCGCATTAATAGTTTATTCATTTTTCGGGTATTTAATTTGATAGTTTTATAACATTTAAGTCTCGAATTGAGAAAAAAAAATCTTTCAGGCCCCGCATTGATAGTTTACCCATCTTCCGAGTCTTGTATTGATAAAACTCCGCAAAACTAAAAGAATAATCTATTTAGAAAAATAAAAACTATTAAGACAAATAATTAAAGAAATTGAAACAAAAAATATGAGTGATCCACCGAGAGTTTCAGAACAAATAGGAGCACTTATAGAAATAATAAAGAAAACTCAATTAAAAACATTAGAAAAATTAGAAGAAATAAAAGTATCAGTAAAAGAATTACTAGATTTAGTACAAAAAGAAAAGTCCAGAAAAAAATTATTTACACCAATTCAAGGAGAAACGCCAACAAGTTCTAATGGATGACATAGATAGATTAACCCAATTATTAGAAAAATGTAATATTGAAGAAATTAGACAAACCAACTATAGTGAGAATTGCAAATAATAAGACAATAAGTATTGATTATAGAGCAACAAATTTAATCAAAAAGAGGGAAACATAGAATGGTTATAAATTACAAAGAAATGAATAAAGCCACTAAAAGAGATGCATATAACAAGTTACCAAGACAAGATTATATTTTTAGTCGAATCATAAAGGCCAAATGGTATTTGATATAGCCATATTATCATATAACGGTTTACACTATCAAGGGTTCCAGAATTACCGAGTCGACTTAGCCAAAGCCGACTCTCTCATCATATTTCCTATAATATCTCCAATTAGGGGTCCAAATACCCTCCGGTCGACTCCTGCATGTCGACTAGTATAAGTCGATTTCCTGCGAGGCGACGGTCAAAAGCATATCGGGATCCACTAGCGGTTGAGTATGACCCAGTCGACTCGAGTCGATTGGATCAAGTCGACTGAAGAGGTCTGGAAGCCCATAAATCTCGATAGCTCTAATACACTTCAGCATATCGAAGGGAAGCTAAGGATAAGGAAGGATCTAGAAGCTGAATAGGAAATGGACGGAATGCGAACCGACCAGGGTAGTTTGGACATTTCCAGTAAGTCGGCCGGGGCATTTTGGGGACTTCAGGTAAATGTTTCATTTCTATATAAAGGAGCTGAGGTAACTCCAAAACCCTAACTTTCATTCATTCCACATTCTTCTCCATTATTGCTGCTGCTCTCTGAGAGCGGCTCTCATCATCTCTTCCACATATTGACTTGAGCGTCGGAGGTCTACGCCGGAAACCCCTCCGGCGTTGAGTTCTTGCAGGTGTTCTTGCGGTTCAACAATGGTTCAAAGGCCATCAAGTCAAATCTGAGCTCATTCACATCGGTTCATCCCAGATCCGGACGATTTCTCATCGGTTCGTTCCAAATCTGAGAAGAGACCCATCAGTATTGTACCTTAGATGCTAAATCAGGATATTGACAATTAAGATTACATGAAAAAACTAAACCCTTAACAACATTTAATTGTCCATCTCAAAACCACTATGAATACGATGTAATGTCATTTGGACTTAAAGAAGCACCTAGCATATATCAACGATTTATGGATAGTAATCTAAAAGTATTAAAATCAGTAAGTCTTGCTTATATAGATGATATAATTGTTTTTACACAAGGATCAAAAGAAAATCATTTAATAGAACTTGCAAAAGTTTTAAACAATTAGAAAATAAGTGAGTTATTTTAAGTAAAGAAAAAGCAAAAATTTACAAAACTGAAACATAATTTTCGGGAATGAAAATAGTCGAAGGACATTATATCGAACCTCAAAAGCATCTACTTGAAAAAATGCATCAGTTTCAGATCAAATTCAAAACAGAAATCAAATTCAAAAATTTCTTGGATGTTTAACATATATTGGAGAAAAAGGTTTTATGAAAAGTTTTGCAAAAGAAAGAGAGTTACTACAAAAAATAATTTCAGAAATAGTACCATGGAACTGGACAGATAATGCA